AAACAGCTGATCGGCAGAGCGGGGCAGCCATTTAAATTTAAATGAAGCCGCGATTATTTAAATCGCGGCTTCATTTCCCTCTGCCGATCTGTCTAATCTACATGCCTCCGTCGACGGAGGCATGTAGTCTAGACACACCCTATAGTATCACCATTGGCCTGGTTTTCTAAGATCATCCCTATCTCTGAGCGTCCATAACTCCAGTCTAAACTGTGGGTGCCATGTTGGTCAAAATGCAAGAAGCTAATAGAACCTTGTCTACACTGGAGCTGTCTGCATAACAAATTTTTCTGCTCCTTGGCAATTTTTAAAAGTCAAAGAAAAATTTGTTTTAGATGGAACAAAACATTTTGATAAAATCAAAACATTTCATTTTACTTTTGGCAATTTCTAAACTCTTTTTTTTTTTTTTTTTTGTATTTTTAAACAACAGAAGAACATTTTGAAACAAAACTTGGTTTCAAACTGGAAAAACAAACCATTTTGATCTGCAAATGTTGAAAAGAAACATTTGTTTGTTTCTGAGAGGGGGAGGGGGTTTCCCCCCCAAAAAATTAGGCAAAAATGACATGAAGTCACCAAATGTTTTTGTCGCCAAATCTTCATTTTTTTCTGAAAAAAAGTTTTGACAAAAACTTTCCTCCCAACTCTTGTCTCCGCTAGGGGTCCTAGTCTCCATTATACAGGAGATCTGCAACCAAGCAAGGTCACATCAACTCACCTTACTATTTTTTCACTTCTTTTAGGGCTTGTCTACTTGTGTTGACTACTTAGGGACAATCTGCAGCATAACGATGCGCTGGGGGAGGCTTCTGTTGGAACTCAACTGGGCATGTCCCAGAGACTAAACAGAGACTCCGTGGCTGCTGTAGGACATGCTGAAGGGATTATATCTCCTGGCCAGCCTGGGAATGCTGGAGAAAAAGGAAGTCTGGTCTCCCTATTCCCCATACTTCTGTCATGACCCTGACCAGTAAAAGTGGCCTAACGGAAGAGGAAGACAAAAAGGAAGCAGCAAAGTAGGGGAATCTATATAAAGAACCCCAACCGGTTTCATGTCCAGTCTTTTTGTTTCAGAAGTTATTCAGAGTCTGTAAGTGTCTGCGCCTGTATTAACTGCTCACTAAGAGGCTGGGTGGGACTGTCTTTCTGAGGCTGGCTGGCAGCGGCTATTAAGACCCATGTTTTGCAACCCATCGCTCTGAAGTTTAACTGTGTAATTAAGTCCTTTCTTGGGGAAAAAAGGCAAAAAAAGGTCTGGAAAGGACAGAACATCTGGCCTGTGCTTTGGCAGAGAGGCCCCAGGGACTGACTTGGCAACTCCAGAGCCAAAAGCATGAACTGAACAGTCAGGGAAGGCAGCTACAAAGGCTCATTTCCATTGCGGGTTGGCATGAACCTGCAACACACCAAGGAAAAGGGGCAGGTAATAGTTATACATGATGTTACCACAGCTCCCCTTTGCTCATAACATCGGCACCAGTTCTGCTCTGTACGCTACGAACACACTGCCAAGCCTGTGGGAATGCTGCACCTATCGCCCACAATGCCAGCAGAGGGCCCTCTTGCAAGCTTGTGGGACATGAGGGCTACGTCTACATTGTGCATTCTTGCGCAAGAAGATATGCAAATGAGGCACGGTGATGAATATCGTGCACCTCATTGGCATACCTAATGAGTCGCCATTTTTGTGCAAGGGGCTTTTGTGCAAGAAGGAGCAATCTACACTGCTCCTTCAGTCTGCACTGCTCAGTCTACACTGCTCCTTCTTGTGCAAAAACCCCCTCTTGCACAAGAGCCGTTCTGGCACTTATTTTCAGGCAGAACGGCTCTTGCTCAAGTGGGGGTTCTTGCACGAAAGCCCCTTGCGCAAAAATGGCGGCTCATTAGGTATGCAAAAAATGGCTGGTTTTGCGCAAAAATCCTGTAGTGTAGACGTAGCCCTAGGGTGGTTCACTGTCCTATGTTGCGGCACTTAGACCATGTTCAGCAGAGAGGTAAGAATGAGTGAGCTCTGCAGCCTAAGTTCAGCAGCCAGCTGACTTCATAGCTCAAGGTGTAGAAGCTCCTACGTTAAGCTGCAGAGAGCCGAGGTTTGAATCTGCCTGCAGGTGGCTATATTGCACTTTAAACCTGATACTTCACATTCCCTTGGCTTGTAGAACAAGTGGGGGCCTGGAACTCAGAGACTGATTCTTAAAAGTATTTAGGCACCTCAAGATTCAGGGAGACACCTGGGGAATTTTCAAAAGCATCTAGCTGCCCAGGGGGAACTGCCAGCTTCTGTGGCCCTCTGAGTAAGCTGTGGAGGGGCATCATGCTCCCAGAAGGGGCGGGGCCTCAGGAAGAAGGGACAGGGCTGGGGCATGGTGCACCCTGCCCTCAGAGCCTCCAGGAGCGCTCCGTGTGGTGCGCCGGAGGTGATTTAAAGGATCCGGAGCGCCAGGCCCCTTTTAAACCACCAGGCTCAGGGGCACCTGCTCCCTCCCCCCGCCTCATCAGCAGGCCGATAGGTGCCTAGTTCCCATTGAAAATCCCACTAGCTGCACTGCAAGGTGCCATAAGACCTTTAAACATGTGACCCTAACCTAGCCCCTTTCCATGGTTAAGGTGTGACGTAGTGGGGGGTAACTTGCTGGCTCCTGGCTGTAGCATGGCCCAGCAGGGCAGGGAATGAGTCATTATGCAAAAGGGGTCTCTCAACCTGTCTGACCAGCTACCCCCCAGGGAGAGAAACAAAGGAAGGTGGAATGCGGCTGGAAGAGGGTCAGTTTCTGTCTGGGAAGCAGGGGAGAAGGGGCGAGGGAGGGGGCTGGGATTGTAGGGCCCAACCAGCCCCCATCTCAAGGGGGGGCCCTGAGGCCTCCTATCCCCCATTCCTGTAACCAGATTGCATCTGTGCTGTATCCTGGAGAAGCAAGAAACTCCCTCTATTCTACTGGCTGGTAAAGTCTGGTCGTGCCATTACGGGGGTGCAGGAGACAGGAAAACCCCAACACGCCGTCACAAAGGGCATTTGTTTGTAACTCAGAGCCAAGCCCCATGACACCCGCCCTTCATGGTAAAGGGCTTTTGGGAGCCTTGCGGAATTGCAGGGCATTCGTCCATCCGTATCTTTGGGAACTGGCTATTGCCTTGTTTAGCACCAACAGCTTCATCCTGAGTCCACTCCCACTTGGCTCTGTCCCCACTTTTAATTCTCCGAAGCCTGCACCTAACAGCAAATTAGTTAAACCCTTTGGGGAATCTCCAAAGGCAAGAACGGAGCCTATCCATGGCTGGGCCGTTATCAGGGGCATGGCAGAGTGAAGATACCATATTTGCACAACCCTCGCCCATGCCCCTGCAGCTCTGGCTTGCGTGACCGGGCAAATATTGACCCGGGGCCTGAACAAAGTTAGCATTTCAAAACTGTGTTCAATCTACGGCAGATCTTCCAGTTGTTTCCTTGAACTTGGTTCAGAGAAGGAGAGGGTTGCTCTCAGTGTCTGTGCTCGTGGCTCTGGGGAAGCAAGCCGGGGGACAATGAAGCAGCTGATTTGCTTCCTGCTTTTATTCTTTGTTCCTGAAATGCGAAGCTTTGATCTTGTCATCGAAGAAATCCCAGATGTAAGTAAATCCCCAGGGGGGAGAGACCCTATTACACTTACCCCAGGATCCAAGCTCTTATTCCCATTCCCATCAGGTCCATTGCTTCTCTTACTAGTTTTGCCTCTACTTCTTAGTTTCCTTTTTCCTTCTGCTAGAATCACGTATTGTCCTAATATCAGCTTCTTGTCTTCCATTCCTAGTATTGCCCTTTAATTCGCTTATATTAAATTAGGGGGAGCTTTTGGCCAGACCCTATGCCTTATTCAGGCAGAATTCCCATTCTTAGAATCATAGAACACTAGAACTGGAAGGGACCTTGAGAGATCATCAAGTCCTGTCCCCTGCCCTCATGGCAGGACCAAGCACCGTCTAGATCATCCCTGGTAGATGTCTATCCATCCTGCTCTTAAATATCTCCAGTGATAGAGATTCCACAACGTCCCTCGGCAATTTATTCCAGTATTTAACCACCCTGACAGAAAGTTTTTCCTAATGTCCAACTTAAACCTCCCTTGCTGCAGTTTAAGCCCATTGCTTCTTGTCCTATCACCAGAGGCCAAGGAGAACAATTCGTCCTCTTCCTCCCCCCTTTTAGATACCAGAAAACCACTATCATGTCCCCTCTTAGTCTTCTCTTTCCCAAGCTAAACAAGCCCAAGTCCGTCAGTCTTGCCTCATAGCTCATGTTTTCTAAACCTTTAATCATTATTGTTGTTCTTCTCCAGTTTCTCCACGTCTTTCTTGAAATGTGGTGCCCAGAACTGGACACAATACTCCAACTGAGGCCTATTCAGCACAGAGTAGAGTGGAAGAATGACTTCTCATGTCTTGCTCACAACACTCCTGCTAATGCATCCCAGAATCATGTTTGCTTTTTTTGCAACAGCATCACACTGTTCTCATATTTAGCTTATGGTCCACTATGACCCCTAGATCCCTTTCTGCCCTGCTCCTTCCTAGACAGTCATTAGACAGTCACTGAACAGTCTTCTCTGAGCTTTGCCTGTCCTGTAGGCCCCGATTCTGCAACTAGCTTTATGCAGATGGACCTGCGTAGCAGCACAGATCCTCTCCAACTTTGGGTGACTTTACGTGGGCTCAGATCTTTGCCTGCTCGGGTCTGATTGCAGATTGGGGCCTTAGAACGTAGGCTCCTTGGGAGAGGGATGGCGTGTCTTGTCTACAGTGTAGGTGCTTAATGATAGACACATTAGAGACTTCAAGATCAGGCCTGTTTTTTATCAGCCTCCTTCTGTGACATTCCCACTGGTGTTAGTGGGTCAGGACCAATGAGCAGCTCCTTAATATGTTTCTAACTAAAGGCACAATTCTAGACCTGAGCTGGGCCAAATCTCTGGAGCCAAATGCTTTCAGATTCTGGGAACTTCAGATCCAAATCTGATAGTTACAGTTCTGACCCAAACTCTATTGTTTAGTGGGCATGTTTGAAACATAAGGGTGCTCTGTCTGAAGCTCTGTGATGTTTGAGGACTTCAATATCTGATATATAGGTGAGAGGATTAATCTGGGAGTGGGTGGGTGAGATTCTGTGGCCTGCATTGTGCAGGGGGTCAGACTAGATAATCATGGTGGCCCCTTCTGACCTTAAAGTCTATGAGTCTATGTTTAGCATCTCTCTCCAATGCTACTAATAATTAGTTAGCCAGAGATGTTTGCTCTTTCGTGGTATAATGTCTTTAATGACACAGTGAGATTGTTTATCCTGATTTTTCTGTATTGGGACAAAATTTTGGGCCTATTTCCCTTTCACTTCTGGGTGGCGCTGTTGCCTGAAATGCTGGCTGTTCCCTCTGGGCGGCGCTGTTGCCTGAGTCACATCCTTCGCCTTCATGGCGCTCGGTTGATTTTTGTTCTGCTCAGCCGGGCCGCTGCAGGGGAGCAAATGGTGCAAGCGGCCGTTTGGGCACTGCGGTCCCCAAGCAGCATTGGGGTGCTGCATGGGGAGCACGGGGCCCAAACAGCCGCTTGCACCGCTTGCTTCCCCATGGCGGCCCAGCTGAGTGGCGCAGAAGTCAGCTGAGCACCACGGAGGGAGGCGAAGGGGGGCGAGGCCGTGACGTGCGGCGTGACAGCGGCTCCAGGCCCTGCCCCCTTGCCTAGAACGTCACCGCCCCGCTCCTCTTCGCCTCCTGCAGTGGGGCTTGGCTGACTTTTGCGCCTCTCAGCTGGGCCACCACATGGGAGCAAGTGGCGCAAGTGACCGTTTGGGCTCCGCACTCACCATGCAGCACAGGGAGCACAGTCCCCTGAGTGAGAGGCAGGAGGGTGAAGAGAAGAGAAAGAGAGAGACAGAGAGAGAGGCAGGAGGTGGAGGAGAGCTGAGAGAGAGGGGCGGAGGCAGCAGGAGAAGGAGAGAGAGAGATACACACATGGAGTGAGAGTTTGGAGGCTCAGGAATGAAGACCGACGTGGAGGAGAGACGTGAAAATCCCGTCTTATGACGGGCTAATTGGCTAGTTTAGAAAATAGTAGCCCAGTGTCTGAGAGTCTTTAATGCCAAAATGCTGGCTGTTCCCTCTGGGCTGCGCTGTTGCCTGAAATGCTGGCTGTTCCCTCTGGGAGGCCTGTGTTGCATGGGGAGTGCGAGGCCCACACAGCTGCTTGCTTCCCCGTGGTGGCCTGGCTGAGTGGCGCAGAAGTCAGTCAAGCACCACGGCGGGAGGGGGAGGGGCGGGGCAGTGACTGGGGCGGTGATGTGCGGCGTGACAGCAGCCCCAGGCCCCGCGCTCCTTTACCTTACGCCATGGCACTCGGATGACTTCTGCTACGCTCAGCCAGGCCGCCACGTGGGACCAAGTGGTGCAAGCGATCGTTTGGGCTCCACGCTCCCCATGCAGCACGAGGAGCGCAGAGCCCAAAAGGCCATTTGAGCTCCGCAGTCCCCCAAGTGGTGATGTGCGGCGTGACAGCAGCCCCAGGCCCCGCGCTCCTTTACCTTACGCCATGGCACTCGGATGACTTCTGCTACGCTCAGCCAGGCCGCCACGTGGGACCAAGTGGTGCAAGCGATCGTTTGGGCTCCACGCTCCCCATGCAGCACGAGGAGCGCAGAGCCCAAAAGGCCATTTGAGCTCCGCAGTCCCCCAAGTGAGAGGCAGGAGGGGGAGGAGAAGAGAAAGAGAGAGAGGCAGGAGGCGTAGGATTGCTGAGAGAGAGACGGCGGGAGGCAGTAGGAGGAGGCGAGAGAGAGAGAGAGAGACCGGAGGCTCAGGCTTATGGAAGACTGACATGGAGGAGAGACCTGAAAATCCCATCTTATGATGGGCTAATTGGCTAGTTTAGAAATAATGGGCCGCTTAATTTGCAATCTGTCTTCCTGCTTTTCATCTGGAATAACACTAATTCTTAAATAATTAGTTTGAAATAACGACTGCATGGAGACTCTGGTGCCGCTATTTTGAAATAACAACTCCCCAGAGTCATTCAAACTAATGACTCTCCAGGGCTTCCTGGGGCTCTAAATCAGGTTGCACATCCACATTAAGGGAGCCTGCCTCGGACTCATTCTGAGGCTTCCCTGTAGTGAGGACACACTATTTCAAATTTGTTAAATCGGGAGTTATAATGTCAAATTTAGTCATTTTGAAATAGTTTCCTAGAGTAGACATGGCTGTAGAGAGAGAAAGAATGAGTTTACTCTACAGCAAGGCTACTTAACACGCGGCCCATTGGTTTGTGGCCTGTGGTGCAGTTTGGGCTTACGCGAGGCTCAGCACGTTTGAACATGGCTTCCACTAGGAACACAAAGGCTACTTAACACGCGGCCCATTGGTTTGTGGCCTGTGGTGCAGTTTGGGCTTACGCGAGGCTCAGCACGTTTGAACATGGCTTCCACTAGGAACACACTCCACAGCGGTGAGGTGTCTTCCAGGTGGGGTGAGCATTGAAAGACGCAAACGGACAGGCTGGCTGGAACAGATGGGTCCAGCGTGTTAGCGTTTCTAGCCTCCAGGGAGGAGGTGCCAGGGCATGGTGTGAAGGAAGCTATTTGCATATATATTTGCATGTATATGCAACCACACTTAAGTTGCAGATCTCGGCATACGCCGTGAGTATCATTGTGGCCCCCAGGGCTTTCAAAGTTGAGTAGCTCTGCTCTAAAGCCTTAGCTTTTAACTCAAGTGGTAGAGGCTCATGCACTAAACTCCAGAGATCCCGGTTTGGTTCCGCCTGTCAGCATTTCACTTACTTCTGAAGGAATAGCCACATGTGGAGACCAATAGTGATCACATTAAATAATAGGATATATGGGGCCTGGAGGTGCAGGATTCGTTGCCCTGTGAAGGAACTGTGATGTGCAGAAGCATAATTCCATGTGCACCTTGAGGGAAGTAAATTCACACTAGCACAAAACTGGAATGATGCTCCAAGATGATGAATCAAGCCCTGAGATGCCAAACTAAAAACTATCTGCAGTGACTGCTGAAGCTCTGGGCTTATGCTATGGATTTGTTTCCTGGATCTGTTCTGTTATCTTCAGTGGGTTGCCAGTTCTAAAACAGAAATCTCTGAAAGTGAAATCTGCCATGAGGTGAACACTTCACTGTTTTCTTATGTCTCCTTTAGGAGCTGTTTAACCTGGAGGTTGATGGATTTCTGTCTAAGCCCGTGACTAGACATGGCCGTTACCAGGTATAGTAACCATAAAATGTAGAAAGGGGGAGGAAAGAAAGTGAAGAGAGAGGGAGAAAGGAAAAATGTTTTGAAACAAAGAACCTATGTTCTATTCCATTACAACGGCCATAATTCTTCAATCAAGTCTACTGGTGTGGATCCATGCATGTGTGAGCTTATTGGATGCTGTTTCAGGTCTTGTCTACAATAACACACACACATACCCCTGATCTAATCTATGCAACTTCAACTACACAAATAGCGTAGCTGAAGTCAACGTTCTTACCTCAGTGTCTTCTGTGCAGTAAGATCCCTGGGGGCTGTTCTCCCATCAATTCCAGCTACTCTTATCATCCTGGTGGAGTACTGGATTTGATGGGAGAGTACTTAGAAATTGATTTATCATGTCTAAGCAGACACGATAAATCAACCACCTGTGCCTCGATCTCTGCAGTGTTGATCCATCATTAGTGAAGACAAGCCCTCAGGAAAGGACACACTGTTATTATTTGTACAGCACCTAGATCAACAGGGCCATGAGCTGATTGGTGTCCCCATTTGCAAATGAAAAACAAATAATTAATAGGAACATTGCGCACATTTAACTTCATGCATGTGAAAAGTCTCTTTGACTTCAAAGTACTCCATGCAATGGAAGGGTCTGCCCATGTGAATTTGATTGTAAGATTGTCGCCAAAATGTCCAGCAGTAGGTAGGGGCCAGGTAATGTTGTATGGTGTCTTTCAGCCTTTCTGATTGGCTGCTGGTTTTTGGTTAGGTCATTGGGAAACCAATCACAGGTGATAACTACTCAGTGCTGAGTGTGAAAAGTAGTTGGTAGGTGAGTAGAGCTAGTCAAAATTAATTTTTCTTTTCTTTTCTTTTCTTTTCTTTTCTTTTCTTTTCTTTTCTTTTCTTTTCTTTTCTTTTCTTTTATAGATTGCTGATCATTTAATTTAGCTAGTTATTGAAATAGAGCATTTTAAAAAAAATGTTTGTGGAATGATATTAAATCAAAAGCTTGTTTTGTTTTAAAAAATGGTAATAAAATGTTTTTTATTTAAACATTTAGTTTTCAAAAAAAAATTTTTTTTTGAGAGGGAAAAACAGCCACCATGACTCCCATCCTCCAAACACTTACAAAATGTGCTTAACTTGGCTAGCGTGGGCAGCAAACTTTAGTAAGATTGCTCGTGGGACCAAAGTTAAACCTGTGGATAAGTGTTTGCAGGATTGAGGCCCAATTTAAGGTCATGCATGTAAAAAAATCTGATTGAGTAAATGGTCATGATGTATAAAGCTTAAGTGCATCTCAATCTGAGGCTTGTTTGCACGAGTAGCTCAGCCACACAGTGCTGCAATGCAGATAACAGGACTGCGTACTGGAGAGCACACAAACACACTGTGCTCTCGCTGTGCCATGTAGACGCTGCAGGTGTGAACAAAAAGGGACTTCGTTTGCATTGATGTAGTCCCATTTCAAACACGGCTATGTGAAGGTGCAGTGGGCAGATAGGATTACATTGGGCAGTCAGAGTGCTCTACAATTCACAACTCCTTAGTCCACACCGTAGCAGCACGTAGACTAATCCTAAGGCTCTTTTACACTGCTCCAGCAGGGTAACAGGGCCTTCAATTGAGTGTGAAATGAGGATCAGGCCTATGCACACTTGCAGAATCAGGACCCAAGTAACATTGGTCTGGTCTATACATAAGTTTTCACCATTATAAGTATGTCAACAAATTTGACACTATCAACATGGGTTGAATAAAGATATTAACTGGTTAACACACTACAAAGGCAAGTTCCCCGTCCTTTGCTATTCACATTTCTACATCAAACGCTATGAACTCAATTATGAACCAGCCTGACTCAACTATTGTCATTAACACTAGTCTTACAAATATTGATAGGTAACTGATTTTGTTGTTATATATACTCTGGACTCTGTCATTTCCATACCAACCCATCTAATTAAGTGGGTTTTACCCAACGAAAGCTCATGATATGCTATATCTAAAGTGCCACAGACCGCGTATTGTTTGTACAATCCCCAGTAAGGATACAGTTATACCAGGATAAAGGAGTCTGATGCCAGTCTAACTTACGCCTCGCCCCATAAGAAAAAAACTGTACCATATAAACACCTTTATACCAATATAACAATGTCCACATGGGGGAACTGAGTTGTACCAATTTAACTATAACAATATTACTACAGTTGTACATCAAAATGATTTATGTGAACATTTCCATTTGATAAAAGCATTGTTATTTATATGGAATGAAAATATTCAGTCAGCTGTCGGGGGGGAGTCCATTGCCCAATTGGTAAATCTCCACCTCCCATTCCTCCCCCCTTGTCATACTAGGCCCTATGTTGGCCATCTCAGCCATGAAAGCAAAGATTAGCATGAGTTCTGGCAACCTGAGTCCCTTTTCTCCACTGGAAATGGTTACAGCAGGCACCACAGAGAGGCAGTGTGAGGAAGTCCATGCTGCTTCTGTTCTGTGTTCCAGCTTTTGGTTCCCTGGCTGCATCTTTCGCAAGCAGAAAACTCATTTAGGTAATAACATTAAATGCCCTTAGAGATTGCAGACTTTTATTTTGAGGAGACAGAACTGCTGTTGCCAGACCTCTAGGTCCAAAACAGGCAATCTAATAAAGTATCCTTAGGTCAGCTGCAAGGGGCTTTCATATATTCCCCATTCTGTCTATTGTAAGCACTTATCTGACTCCCATCCATGGGGACTCTTGTGCATTTCAAAGCTGGCACCCGCATGCAGCCCGGAGTCAGTGGGACTTCCCACTGGCCCTGGGCTGCACACGAAGTTCCGCATTCCTCCTTTGAAATGTACAAGAGCCCCAGTAGGGGCTCTTGTACATTTCTTGTACATTTCAAAGGAGGAATGCGGAAGAACCTATCGACTAGTCGAGTAGTGGATGGAAATTCCATCCACTATTCAACTAGTCAATTAACCACTAGTTAACATCCTTAGCTTTGGCAAGACTTTGTTGGCCAGGTTTTGCTTTGCACAACCAAAACTAGGCTTGGTTTGGGTTTCATCCCATCTCCCATTGTTTGGAGAGGCTAGATGAAAAGTTCCGGTGTTGACCTATCGCTACGAGAAACTTGAACAAACTAAACACTGGATCCAGTAAACCACTGAACTACACCTAGCTCCTGGCACTATGAGGTGTTCCAAATATAACCCAGCTACAACTGTTGTACATGCTCACTCTCCTTTCAATGGGATAAATCCAAAGTTCCAGATCCAGATGTCACCAGACTTTGGGAGAATTGAAATCTGGATCTGAATGGTCCAGCCTGGGCCCATTTCTATCTACTCCTTGAATGACAGCAATGTAGGCCTGGATGAGAACCTCAAGAAACCATCTAATCCAGCCTCCCAACACAAGGGCAAGATTAAGTGTATCTAAACCATCTTCATAGCATTTCCAAATATAAACTGGGGTCGTGTTTATGCTCAGTGAAATGGTGAGTCACCCAACATATGGCTCTTCATAGGATCTCTTTCTGAGGTATGTCACCTCTCCTATACATGACTTACCCGCAGTGCCCATAATTCTGTAGTTACCCACGCATAAATCACCTTCGCTTAAACTTACCTAAATTGATACCAAACTTTAGGAAAAGAACCACCCATCATTGTATGCTTCTTCTATGGTCTTGCTGTCTATGTGTGGGTCTTTGCCACATTTAAGGAGCCAACTCATATGGGTTTAATTGATTAGAGGGTCAAGAGCTATGGCCAAACTGGCCACAGGATGTTGCTATAGTTTGACATAAATTGCAAACAGGGATATTCATATGGCTGTAAAAAAATAGCTTATTAATGACTACAATATTTTTAATTCCTTGTAAGGCTTAAATAGTAGTGCAGGGCAGAACTATTTTTTCTGCATAATTTTTTGATGAAAACTAATCCATGTAAACAGCAACAAAAATCATTTTTTGTTTACATTTTTCATGGAAAGTTTCAATTTTTCAGAGAAAAAAAATGAAAACTGAGAACTTTTGGTAGAAAACTTTATGTTTTCACGTCTTTTTTCCCTGAAAAAGTTTTGGCTTGGGGGCAAAAGATCTGGCTTGTGGCCAGAAAGCTTTACAAAAACTCAAACATTTCCGCAGAAAGCAGACCCTTTTCACACACGCATGCACGCGTACACACACACACACACACACACACACAATCCTTTTATCAAAAGGATTTTGAAACAGAAAACTAGTTTCAAAAGAAATTTTTCAACCAACCCTACCTTTCTTTCAAAATTACCTAGGTTTCAGAGCCAGATTGTCAGTGATGTCCAATGGGACTTTTTAGTCTAAATCCCTTCAGCCCAATTTCTCAAAGATACTTGAAATCAAAGATACTTTGAAAGTCTGGGCTACAGGGACTTTTTGAGAAGTTTCTCTTTACAAGCAAGGAATAAAGCAAAGAGAAGGACACTAAGAATTAAATCCAGTGACTCTCATTGATTTTGATCATCTTGTGAAACAATATATGGACAATTTGCTGTCTGATGCCTTAAATAGCTAATTTGTGACCACCAGACTTGTCATTCTTAAGCTTGCAGAAATCTCACTCTTTATTTCTTTCCTTCTCAGAGGAGCACATTAAATGATGAGGACTCTGGAGAGTCGGTGAGTTTTCTTTTGGAAAAAACAATGATGACAGAATGATTTTCCTGTTAACCATTATCTGAAAATCAATTCCGCTGTTTGTTCAATGCCTTGCTTGTATCACTGAGCGGGTATTAACCTGTTTTCTTCAAACAGCTAGCAGCTTGCACAATGCTGTTCAAGGGATTGGTATAAGATCCTGTGATGTATGTATTGTACCAATGCAGGACCAAGCCAAAAAATGAACAGAAAACATGCTCTCCCTTCCTCCCAAAGGCAATATTTTTATGAACTTTATGGTAAATCATGCTATTCTACCATGGTGGATTTCACATCTGACCTGGCCTGCCAGGGCTCCTCCCACTGTTATTTAAGTCTGTCTCTGAAACACACTCTTCCAGAAGACCCATAACCACTAAGCCTCCCTCTGTGCAGTGTTAGTGAAATGCACACGGGGCTTGTCCTCTCACAGAGCTGAATTGTTTTACATTAAAGGAGTGATTCTAAACCAGTTCAGTTAAACCAGAACAAAAGGCTGCAAGGTTCTTTGGCCAGGTCTACACTGTGGGGGGAAGGTCAGCTGAAGCTACACAACTCCAGCTACGTAAATGACATAGCTGGAGTCGACGTGCCTTAAACAGAGCTTGGCATCGTTGCCACAGTGAGAGGTCATTGAGAGAAATGCTCCCATTGGTTTACTTTAACTCCTCGTAACAGCAAGGAGTATTGGTGCTAACCGGGGCACCCTCAGCATTCAGTTTAGCAGGTCTTTACTAGACCTGCTAAATCAAACCCCAGAAGATCGATTGCTAGAGCGTCGATCCTCCAGTAAGTGCAGATGTGGCTTTAGCTCTGTTTAAACCAGGCTTATTTTGGTTTGATTAGGTGGAGGCTAAAGCTGAGGTGAACTGAACTCTAGATTGAAATGAGAGTCTCCACATGGAGTTTGATCCAGTTTAACCAAACCAGGCTTAGAATATAGATGAAGTCCTGGACACAGTGATCAGTGGCTAGGATTGAACCTGGGACATCCAGAACCAGACAGTCAGCTGTCTCCTGCTTAAGCAAAAGAACTTTAGATACTAGCAAACCATAGGTTACAGAGCATCAACTACTGCCATGCAATAGGAGCACAGCTACTAGGTCAATATATTACAGTACTCTCTGTTAGAGTTCAAAAAAGAGCTAGATAAATTCATGGAGGTTAGCTCCATCAACAGTTATTAGCCAGGATGGATAGGAGCGGCGTCCCCAGACTCTGTTTGCCAGAAGCTGGGAATGGGTGACAGAGGATTGATCACTTGATGATTCACTTTTCTTTTTATTCCCTCTGGAGGCACCTCGCATTGGCCACTGTCTGACCCAATATGACCTTTCTTACGTTCTTATGACCTTACCTCAAATGTCAGAGGTCTACAGGATCTGATGTTCCATTGAGGGCCCATTTTGTAATTCTAGCTAAACACAACCACTGTGATTATCAGCCTGGATTGAACTGTCCCTCCATGCAAAACATACCCTTTGTATCTCCACCCCAAATTTTCAAGTTCTCTTCTCCTTTGCAGGTAGAGGGCGACGACAAGATAAGTATTTATAGCTACAAAGTTCGGTCCACCATAACGTCCCGTTTGGTCAACACCATGATCCAAAGCAAAGTGGAAAATAAAGCTAAGCATTCCCAAAATTTGGTGTTTGATGTGCAGATTCCCAAAGGAGCCTTCATTCACAACTTTACTATGTAAGTAGCAGGCAGCTATAGCCACAGTGCTGTAATAATTTCTATAATCAAATAAGATGCTGGAAGGGTAACAGGGAAAGTGTCTATAATTTGTAGATAAAATTGTATTTTCCCAAGATTTTTTTAAGTAAAAGATTCCACTGGATTAGGAACGGGCTTGATTCAATTTGATCTTTTGCTGAAATAAAGAACCTGTGTAATGATCTGTCTATGTGATGATCTGTCTGGGTTTCCCTTTCTTAGGAACATAAATGGAATAACGTTTACTAGTTCTATTAGAGAAAGATCTGCAGCCAGACAACAATACGCTCAGGCCAGGGCCAAGGGCAAAGCTGCTGGAATAGTAAGGTACAAAGATTTCTCTTCTGTATTATGCAACTGTACTTTTTTTCCTTGTATTTATATAGCTATCTAGACCATCCCTGACAGATGTTTTTCTCTTCTTAATTTGTCGAGGGCTCTCATATTTCTGCCCTTAAATTGCCAACACCTCATTGAGTTGATATGTAATGTGATTCCCTTGTATAGGCCAAATTTAAGGCCCAATTCAGCTATTAGGTCTCCCTGTACTTTACAGACACGGGCCTTTAATGAAAAGCAGGTGTTTATCTGTGAAGTGGGTACCAGGTGAGTTTTCATGGTGAGGTGCTCGCTGCATAGAGATACAGCTTTGTATTTTGCTAACTCCTTCAGGAGCAGCGCCCTTGACACAGAAAACTTCAAAGCTGAACTGAACGTGCCCGGAGGAATGAAAGTCCAGTTTGAAATTCATTACCAAGAAGCAATTAGGAGGAAACTGGGATCGTATGAGTATATTATCCCTCTGCAGCCTGGAAGACTAGCAAAGCATCTAGAGGTACAGGAGAGTTACGGACTACAGGGTTCTGTGTTCCTTCTCACCCACAGCACTGCACGTAGCACATAGCTGGTTGTATTCTTGTATTAATACAGTCTGTGCAGTGTGCTCTCCTGCACGTGAATATACAGCTGTAGGGCCTTTCTCTCGTGAGTGGGCCCACTTAAGTCAATAAGGGTGACTCATGAGAGTGAGAGAGGCCGGATTCACCCCTAATTTGTATGGTGGCCCCTTTCAAAATATTCCCATCCCCAATTCCAGAGTGAGGTAACCTACAAAAGCAGGCAAGATTTTGGCATCAGACAACTTTCCATTGACTTTATTGGGCTTCGGCTCAGGCCCTAAGTGAACGCTCATGGCTTGTGTTCCCATTTTGCAGAGCTGGGGCTGCTTTGTGCTCGCTGGGCACCTAGGCGTGTTCCCACTGATTGCTACCTTGAATCCTGCTTTCACACGGCTGGGTTGACTCACTGCCTGATCTCCCACCCAGGAGAACCAAGCAGGACTCCACTGACATTCTAGTTCCACGGTTGGGCTTAGAGAGGAAAGCCAGTATCCCCACACACCTGGAGGAGGAAAAGGCAGCTCCTTGTCCAGTCTCCACCTACCTCTGACCCCAGGAGCAGACAGCTCCTAGGAACTGGGGAGACAACTTGCCAGTCGGTCTTCCCTTGGCACCCCCTGGCTGGCTCTAGGGGTGGGCAGTCAGGGTGACACCGTGTTACTCAGGGCTTTCCTGATTGCCCAGCCTTTTCGCTTTCTTTATTTTTGCTTTGCTGACTGGCCAGTCTTTGTTCTGCTCGGAGGAGTGAGAGGAGTGGGGGGGAAGAGGGGGAAGAGTTGCAGAAAATGTCTTCTGCCCTGTACCTAGGGCTGTTTGGGGAACCAGAGACTAAAGCAACACGCTGTCCAATATGCCCTACAGGCAGCTTGAAACTAGGGATTAAAGGGAGGGGCGAACAGAAGGGAGCTGCCCCCTCTCTCCTCTGTTAACATCAGACAAAGTGCTTTCAATCCATTCCCAGGCATGAGGTAGAAGATCAGTATATCCCCCCCTCCCCCGCCCCGTGCTCCATATTGGTGTGAGAGCTCCCCCTTCTGTTTTGATCCATACTAACCATTGCTTGTGTAACCCACGCACCTAGGCTTTGTCTACACTGCCAGCTGTCTACACAGGGTTTTTGCACACACAAAAAAGTCCACACTGCTTGTTTTTGCACCAAAAACCCCTTGCGCACAAACAGCTTGAATAAATTCTGCAATTGAAGTGCAATTAAATTATGCTAATCCATGCTTCATTTGCATAGGCGCTGCCGGCAAAGCCAGCCGTGTAAACGTAGCCCTAGTGAGGTGCACTGTCCCGTGTAGTGGCACTTAGACCACTTACAGTGAGAGATAAGAATCTAAGCTGAGAGCCAGCTGGCTTTATAGCTCAAGCTATAGAGGCTCCTATATGGAGTTCCTGAGGTCCTATGCTCAAATCCACCTTGTGGTGGTAATGCGTGTGTGTGTATGTGTGTGTATATGTATATATATATATATATATATAATTATTCACAAATACCTACCCAACATATAGTGTAAGTGCCACTACATGGGAGAGCAAACCTCATTAGGCATGTGGGTTACACTTGGACCCCTGGCTAAAATTGGCTCTGTTCCCATGACAACCCTCTGAAGCCTGGTGCTGTGGCAGGTGTGTTTTGGGGAGCACAGGCATGCTCCTGAGATCTCGGCACATCACTAGTGAGACTCCATGCTTACTATCCTCCACTCTTGCCTGCAGGTGGACGTCCGCATTATTGAGCCTCAGGGACTTCGTTACGTGCATGTTCCTAACTCGCTAGGAGATCACTTCGCAGGAATCACCACTATCTCTAAGGGAGAGAAAAAGGTAATGGACAAAGCCGTAGCTGACACCAAGAAACTGTAGGTGTACAACATTTTCTCTCGCAGGAGGTAAGATTCTCCCCACACCCGCTGGGATCTGTCATTATAATACATGCCTTCCATGGTCCATCATTCAAAAGGCAGACAACAATTGGTGATAAGACCCTATACAATGCCTGAAAAGAGAGACATGCCAGCTACTCCATCAAGTTCACCGGTAACTTTGCTGTTGCTATTGATTTTATATGAAAAGTGCTTATTCCCTATGTGGAATGCAGCTGAATAAACCAGATTAGATCGAAGGATCAGGTGATAGAATGAACTACATGTAACTCAGAGCCGAGGCCGCTGGACAAGGTGGGGGGGTGGGTTCACCCTTCCAAAAGGGGTGGAACCTTGGGCCGAATTGGCATGGTTGTAAACAATTACAATTAACAAATTCATGGAAATTGTTATCATGGAAATCATGGACATTGTGAGAAATCAGGCATGCCATGCGAATATTTTTTCCCTTGCAAACAGAGAAAAAGAGCTACATTTATCCAATGAATTCTTCATTACAGACAGTTTCCTCAGCTCTGTTTGTAAAACAGGGAGATGATTCTGTGTTTGCATACAGAGCTGCTATCAATGAAGAAACTGAGAGACGAACACCAACGAGCAATGTTTGCTTTGGCGCAACAAAAATCCCTCTCTGTTTTACTTCAAAAGGTGCTAACGTGGTCAGTGAAATCCTGTGTCCCCTGGATCCGAAAGTCTAATCCCTTGCTTCTAGCAGGACTCATTCATAATTAGTCTCTCAAAATGATATGGTAGCTGTGGAATGGGTGGTTGGCTTTGTAATGGAGTCTCCTTTTTCACTTTCCACATCTAGGCCCATGTGTCCTTCAAACCAACAGTGGCTCAGCAACGAAAATGCCCCACTTGTTCTGCTACAGCTGTAGATGGGAATTTTGTGGTCATGTACGATGTGCAAAGAGAACCCAAAGCTGGAGAACTAGAAGTAAGTTTATTCAGTTACCATATGTTGCTCTCTTGGGGTACATCTACACAGCAACATTATTTTGAAATAACGAGTGTTATTTCGAAATAACGTAATCTGCCTCTACAGAGCAGGCAGTTATTTCGAAATAATGTCAAGCCGGAGGACTTCTTATTCCAATTGCTGTAACCCTCATTGTAGGAGGAGCAAGGGAAGTCAGGGGAAGAGTGCTCTATTTCAAAATAAGTGCTGTGTAGATGCTCCCAATTTCGAAATAAGCTGTTTTGAAATAAGCTACGCAGTTGATGTAGCTCCATTTGCGTAGCTTATTTCGAGTTAAGCCCTGCTGTGGAGATGCACCCTTACACAGTGGCAAAAGTTTGGTGGGAAGTAACCTGGATGTCAAGCACTTTAATTTAAGTAGCAGTGAGAAGTAAGGGGACTATAAGGCAGAAGTCAGGTAGTCCCTAAAAACAAAAAAGGGACCCAGCTCCATCCCTCCAACCTTCCCTGTAATTCAAATACTGGTCTTACCCAAAATTAAACGCCAGAACATAAGCGTTGCCGCAGCAGCAGAACATCCATGATCTATCTCTGAGACTCTTTCTGCGTTCCACTGCAGTGGGACAAATCACGGTGTGTCTGAATGACAGAAGTGATCAAGAATCACTGAAGCAGCAGGGGGATTTAGGCAGGTAGAATACAACAAGTGGTCAGGACCAGTTTCCTGTCTTGTCCAAAAGCCAGTGTCTCTCACATCACAGTGCTCCCCAGCCCTGTATAGGGTACTGATTTAAAACCAACTCCAAAGGAACAGGGTCAGAAGTTGCAAGAAGGCAAACCAGCACTTCGTTAGCAGCATGTTGGCATGGAGTAGGGTTGCAGGGTTGAGTCACTATATATGATATAGCTCTTTTAAACCCTCTCCTTCTCTCCCATTCCAGAGTAGGGGTGTTCTGCAAAACAAGTGAGTCCTCAGAGCCAATGTTCCCTCTAATCTTTTCAATCCATGTGTGATTTTTTCCATCTATGTGTGGAATAATTGTATGTGCACTAAGGCATATGTGAATGTGCACCACCAGTAGAGACCAAAAAAACCTAGCTGTGGGCACTATGCTGATTAGCTAGGCAGCATATGACTCTCTCCTGAGTGGCTGCACAAGCACACAGATTACAGGGAACACTGTTTAGAGCCAATTTCTGCTCTCCCTCAAAGCCAGTGGAGCTCAGACACTGCATTACGGTGATGGGTACAATACAAATGCAGAGTTAGTGATGAATATGACCTAGAATGAAAGAAAAAGATGTCCCATAAAAAGGGCTAAAACCTTCCACTCCATTTACTGTCTTATGCCTTGTGGAATCTTTACAGGAGTTCACGTTACCGCCCTTTGTATTTTGCAGATTTTTAATGGCTATTTCATTCACTACTTTGCTCCTGAGAATCTGGACCCACTGCCCAAAAACATTTTATTTGTTATCGATGTCAGTGGCTCCATGTGGGGATTGAAAATGAAACAAGTAAGTTCCTGATCTGTGCAAACATCAGGTCCTGCCTTTGTGCTCTCCCGTACATGTAGCTGTTGCTTGCGTGACTGCCACATACTGTGCTCTTGCCCGTGCTGAAAATCGCTGAGTTGCAACTTTAGGTCCTGTCAAAAGCATCACTGAGCAATTGCCTGAATAGAGGACTTCAGGATTTGACCCACCATATTTACTCTCCTTAAAATGTTTTAAGAAAGGAGCAAGGTCATTAGAATCCTACTGAGTTCTGAAATGGCACAGCCCTCCAGGCCCTTTGCAAAGGAGAGTGACTAACCTCATTCCCACTTATTATAGATGGGGACACAGAGATACAGAGAGGGGTTGTGACTTCCCCAGCATCGGACGGCAGGTCATGACAGAGCTAGAAATACAACTCTCATTTCCAGGATCAACACAACTCAGTTTCCAGAGCAAGGTCCTCTCCACTCACGGCGTCTCCCTTTCATGAGAAAAGTGGGGATGGGTTGAGGAGAACAAGGTTGGGGTTTGCAGACTCTTTCTCTGGATTCTGCAATTTTACGTAGTTGTCCTACAGTACAGAGGAAGCAGGCTGTAAGCTGGGCCATCCTTGAGATGTATGAGGTCCTACCCAGTACTATTAAACTGGTGCCCACGGCCCGATGGCAGATGGGGGGAGAAGGGAGATTTTATACAGATGTGGTTTTATAATCTTCAGCAACACATTCATGAAATATTTTTCAAACAAATTATAAACAAAGGTCCTGTCGACTAACACGGTAAATTCAGAAACTGACACGATATACCTGGTGTTGGCAAATGCCTGTTAAGTGGCTTCATTTGCACTGGAATGGCTCTTTCACAGGTTCAGTGTTCTGCTAAGAGGTCTGGCAGGTTTTTTCACTTTCAAGTTAACTAGATCTTCTTGGGAGGAAGCAGAGCCACAGATTTGGGAGAAGAAGAGGTGGGGAGGGAAAGGGGGACATTAAGGCTATGTCTAGACTGCATTGCTTTTCCAGGATACCGAAGGAACACTTCCGCTTTCCCGATTTCTTTTTTCAAAAAAGCGTACGTGCTCTTTCGCCATCCCTGTAAGCCTTGTTCTAACGCTTCCGCTTTTCCGATTTTTTTTTCGAAAAAGCATACGTGCTCTTTCGCCATCCCTGTAAGCCTTGTTCTGTGAGGCATAAGGGATGTGTCGAAAGAGCATATTTTTCCGAAATTTGGCACCATGTAGATGTGCCAAATTTCAGAAAAGCCTCTTTCGACAGTCAAGCAGGAAAAGATACGCAATTTGCGTACCGCAAGTTGTGTTTCTTTTTCCGATTGAACCTGGCAGTCTAGACTTAGCACAAGACTCAGTGATGCCTCAAATTTTCAGGTGCCCTGCGCAACTGTGTATTCGGCATATAGGTAAGAATGGCTTTGGCTGAGAGACAGCCTCTTAAAAATTCCAGTTTGGGTCCATGACTCAGGCTGTTGTGTGTTTAGTTTACTACTCACTCTTCAAATGGAAAGAACTAAACATGCCTATTCTTGTGGCCATTTCCTATCTCAGACAGTTGAGGCAATGAAAACCATATTGGGTGATCTCCGCCCTGAGGACCAGTTTTCTATTGTTGACTTCAACCACAATGTTCGCTCCTGGAGAGATGATTTAGTTGCAGCCACCCCGTCGCAGACAGAGGATGCTAAGAAGTACATCCAGGAGATTCATCCCACCGGGGGTACGTGGGTGTGATAGCGAGGTACTTTCAGCACTTAGGTAGTATAAGGATAAATCCCTCAGACAGAAAGACAAAGTACTGTTCACAAAAGAGCCAATTTCCCGCTCATGCAGCAAGGAAAAGAGACCTGGGGAAGGGGACAAAATGAAAGACACCTTCACAGAGCCCCCTGATCGTTTGGTTGGGAAAAGCCAGGTGTTCCGTCTGTGGGCCCACCCCATAGATTGGGAGATTAGTAAACAACCCCCATACTATCTCTCTGTCCCCCTGGCATCACTGGACTTGGGCCCAGATCCTTACAGGTATGTAGGCACCTAAATCCTTGACACAAGTTTCACTCACCATGATCAGCACCTCCCAAGAATTAGCTCCAGCAGTTGACACTCACCCTCTGGTGGTGTCTTCTGTCTTGTCTTGTTCTGCAAGTCTGCTTTGAGCCTCAGGAACCTGATCACCTGGGTTCAAGAAAGGGTTGTTCAAACTGGAACAGATGCACAGAAGGGCTGCTAGGATGATCAGGGGAATGGAGGGTCTTTTTACAGGCAGCAAGCTCAGGGGGGATATGATGCTTGTCTTTAAATACTTGAGGGGCATAAACATCCCGGAGGAATAAGCGACATACAAATGAAAAGACAGTGTTGGTGCAAGAACAAATGGGGATAAACTGCCCATGAATACATTTTAAATGGTCATGAGAAGAAGGTGTCTAATATCAATAGGAGCAGTGAGGTCAAACAACCAAAGAGTCTGAAGATGGAGCTTGAAAAGTTATTGGATGGGATTCTATGAAAGGGTTGCCAACAATGGCCAGGCACGAGATTCGATTGGTCCCTTCCAGTCATGTGTTCCTATGTGTTCTTTTCTTAGCACTGAGCCTTTATTTCAAGAGGGAATGCTGCATAGCAAACTTGCTCATTGTATTGCTTCTTTACCAGGCACAAACATCAACGAAGCTCTTCTTCGAGCAATATTCATTCTAAAGGAAGCCAGCAACTTGAAAATGTTGGACCCTAACTCTGTCTCCATGATAGTATTGGTGTCAGATGGCGACCCTACGGTAGGTAAGGATCTTGCATTAGGTGAAATGAAAGGCCAGTTGAATTGGCTTAAGAAACACAACCAGCACATGGACACTCTATACGTAAGCTAAGAACATACTATTTCCCCTTCTTTTGACCCAGCATGTCTTGCTTCAGACAAAATGTTACCTCTCTGCCAGGTGGTAGCAGAATTCTGGGGATATTCAGGTTGGCTTCTTAGTCCATGAGAAATAAGTGTCACGGAGATGGGTTATCCTAAGGATAATATGCTTTATTTACATACATACACCAGTCCTGGAACAGAGATGGTTACAACCATCACAGAAGGAAGCCTCTCTTCCAGAGATCTCAGTCCACACAGTGACGGCTGGTCCACAAAAAGCTACTCCATTCCAGGAACTGCCCCACAAATATGAAGAACAAAGCAAAAAGCAAATTAAGTTCAGTGGGGTTTGTATCAGGTCCCAACTACAGAAATCATCTCAAAACCCACCCTAGGGCTGTCCCACAACATTTTGGCATCTGAGGTGGGGAGCTCAAACAATGCCCCCATGGCCCCTCGCTTGGGCCAAAACTTTGAAAGGTCTCAATTCTGCCTTCTTCGTGTTCTACTCCTCTCATGGTACTGCTCTGCTATCTACATATGTACCAGCTGCAGACATAATTTTCTACACTCTGGGTCCTAGTGGTGCCCCCTCATAGTCTGGCACCTGAGGCAGCCTCCTCAGTTTGCCTCATGGTAGGGCCAGCCCTGCCTAGATGCTCCACAACTGAAGTTTCTTTTAAAAAAAGGTATGGTCCTGACCCTCATGATTGCAAAGAGCACCTTAAAATCATGAACCGAAGTGTCATGTTGTCTCCCTGAGTCTGCAGAGAGCCTGAAACAATAGTTCTGTGAGGTGAGAACAGCCCTCTTCATCTCCATATGTTAGAATAGAAACCAACATTCCCGCTACAGACAGTCAGAGTTTGGAATATTCAAGGAATATGGAATTAGATCCTATTTGAGGATTTATGAATAATGTTTAGTTGGGTTGAAGGGTTTGTTCTCAATTCAGAAGGTGACTGAAATTCACTCTCTCCCCTGAAGGTGAGCTGAAGTTGACTACGATCCAGAAGAACGTGAAACAGAACATACCGGAAGATGTCTCTTTGTTCTCTCTTGGGATTGGATTTGATGTAGACTATGATTTCCTGGAGAGGCTTGCTCATGAAAACCATGGAATGGCACAGAGGATTTTTGGAAGTCAGGAGACTTCTTCCCAAATGAAGGTACATTTCCTTCCCTCCACCTCTTCAACCGTGAGGGTCACAAACTGCTCCCAGCTGGCAATTGGGAATAACGTATTCAAAGGTGGTAGAGTTACTTTTGATTCACATAGGTCCCACTGAGAGCAGAGATAAGCCCTAAGAGTTCAGTAGAGTATCATGTCTGTAAACCCAAGACTTTCTATAACAAAGGGTTTGCCTTCACTACTGGGAGAAGGGGGTAAATTGACCTCATTACAATACTCCAGCAACGTAAATAATGTAGCTGGAGTCAACATAGCTTAAGCTGACCTACCCTAGCGTCTTCTCTGCACTGCATCAATGGGAGACACTCTCCGGTCAACTTACCTTATTCTTCTCAAAGAGCTAGTATACTGGGGTTGATCGGAGAACACTCTGCCATTGATTTAGCAGGTCTTCACTAGTCACACTAAATTGACACTCATTGCATCAATTGCAGCATCCTCAAACTCCCTGTAGTGAAGAGCCACTCCTGGAGATAATCCCCCTAAAGTGGGGTTTCTGAAGCTATATTCCAGACTTTCCAGATCCAGGATCTTACTTCAGCTCATTATGTAGAGCAGTGTTTCTTAAACTTTTTAAGACTGAGGAACACCAAACAATATTTTTTGTATGAGGAACACCAAGGACTTTTTGTCAAGGAAAAAAACAGATTGGGGGGAGGGGGAGAAGGGTCAGGGGACAGTTATTGAGCAAAAAAAAAAAAGGTTGCCTGCCTCTTTAAGGGCAGCCATTTTGAATTCTGCTGTTCTCTGAGGCACACCTCTCTTTGGTGAGCCATGAAATACAGTTTAAGAAATACTGATGTAGAGAAACAATCTAGCCAGGAGGGCTGAATTCTGATTAGCAGAGTTGGAAAGTGTTTAGAGTCTGAGCCCAAATCTATAAGCAATAGATAATAAAGGTCCAAATTGACTAGCCCTTATTCATTGACTTCAACACCTGCTTTAGTATTTGGTATATGTACCAGTATTCACTCTTCCTTCTGCCTCTGGGTCCTGGAAAAAACTAGGTGCCTGTCGTTATAGACTGTGGGCCTGAGTCTTTCCATTGATTTTACTGGGCCCTGTACAGGTTGAACCTTTCTAGTCAGGCATTCTCTGGTCTAGTAACATCTGTGGTCCGGCATGATTTTAGTTAGCCGGATGTCCATTTATCATGGGTGTGGCCAAGTTTCTGCAGTCCCATAAAGTTTGCTTACAGCCATCAGTCCTGGCTCTCAGTGTTCTGTACTGTTATTTAGCTCTAATTTACCCCTAAATGTCTTCTAAGAGCCCAGTAAGCAGTGGGAGTGTTGTTAATGCTGCTAGACAATGTTGGCCTCCCCTGGTCTGGCAAATTCTCTGGTTCGGTACCAGTCAAGTCCTGAGGGTGCTGGACTGGAGAGGTTCAACCTGTATCAGTAAATACACAGACATCTCAAGGCCTAATAAGTGCATTTCCTGGAAAATAAAACATGCAGTCTTGCCCATTTGGGTTCTAGATTCCATCGCCTGTACCTGTTGCGGTAGCATGTCAGCGAGCGTTGCATCGCATATACCAGACTTACTCCTTTGTCTGTTCCATTGGCAGAAATTCTACAACCAAGTCTCCACCCCTCTCCTCAAGAAAGTGGAAATCAACTATCCTCAGGGATCGGTGTCAGACGTCACCCAGAACAGTTTCCATAACTACTTCGGAGGGTCGGAGATTGTGGTGGCAGGGAAGGTTGACTCCAACAACGTGCAGCACCTGCAGAGTCTTATCACAGCCACGGCAGTGAGTCGGGCTCTGTGGAGAACGCCCTTTCTCGCAGCTCACTGGGGCATGCCATGCACCAGGGCGCAGCCTTCTCCCCACGAGGGGCGGAAAGGGCCATACAGTCTGCAGGACCCCGGGCTGTGTGTGGGGCTTTATGCCAGTGTCTGTGGGGGGTCGCTGTCCTGTCACTATTCCTGTCTCCAGTGGACTGTCCTGAGAGTAACACATTGTACCACAACGATGCCCACTGTAGGCCACATCCTGGCTTTCAGCCCCTTTATTGGGCAATCCCCCTCCGGAGCTGATGGAGGCACCGTGGAGCCGTTCCACAGCACCTGCTGCTCCCCCTCTGTGGGAGGTGATGGCGGACGGGTGCACTAGCCCTGCTCTGTGAACATGGTCCCCAAGCCTTCCCAATGCCCCCACTGGGGCTGGGATCCGGCTTGTGCAAGGGATGGTCTCACACTTCATGAGCTCCCCAAAGCTGGCCCTGCTCACACGGCAGAGCTGCCCTGAGGAGAAAGCAGGATTTATCCTACAGCCAGGGGTGGGAACCAAAACAAACCATCCTCCCTGGCATGATTTTTGTGCTCCAGCCCCACAGTGGGGCAATGGGGGCTACAGCATCAGCACGGGCTCCCCAATGCTGGGGTAGGGGAGCCCTGAGCCTTGGGGGAGCCAGATCCAGGCAAGCCAGGGGCTGCATCTGGCCCCTGGGCCTTACCTTCCCCCATCCCATGGGTGTACTGCTCAGCATCTGCAGGGGTAGCCCAGCCCTACAGCTCTCCTCTCATCTTGGAAAGTGTGAGGAGAGTGCCCCCTGCTGTTTCAATCTGCTATGACGCAGCCACAGAAGGTCTGTGTGCCAAAGACCCCTTCACCTACTGACGCGGGCTGACACAGGCATCCCTGTTTGCAGAATCGGTGTCTAAGTGCGGGGTGCTCCACATCCTAATATGGGAGCCCCAGGTCTGTCAGGGTCCTGATCTAGGGAGAGTGATGACATGGCTGCGTCATTCCCCGGGCTCACCCTGGGATATTGATATCTGTTGTTCACCGCTTAGGCGAACGCTGAGATAGTCCTGGAGACCCTGGCGGATGTGGAGGGGCTGGATGAATTCCTGAAGAAAGAGGAACATGCCGACCCCAAATTCACGGAGAAGCTGTGGGCCTACCTGACCATCAACCAGCTGATGGCGGAGAGGTAGGGATGTCTGAGAGGAACCCAGCTGACCTGCAACGGGTCTGGCAGACATCACAGGCATGTGGGGGCTCTCAGCACCTCCCAAGATCAGGCCTTTGATGGTACAAATGAGAAATGAAATTCTAAACAAAAGGGTACAGAACTTTTGCACCCTCCCCCTCCTTTACAGTTGCAGGCATTGAGACACTGGGGTTTGGTTCGGCCTCTCAGTTGGGTCCGTCGTGGCCAGCACGGCTGACAGCCACCACAGACCCTGAGGCCAGGTGTGGAAGGGCCCTGCTCTGAGCCCCCAGAAGGGACAGGGCCTTAGGTGTAAGGGGGTGGAGTCAAGAACAGTCATCCCTTAGCACCACCCAGACCACGGCGACCCCCTATGCTCCCCCAGCCCTCAAAACCATGTGCAGTGGCATCCGGTGCTCTGGTAGTAATTCAAAGGTCTAGGGATTCCAGACACTGCTGCTGCCACACTAGTGGCGTCTGGAAGCACCACGCCCCTTTGAATTTCTGGGCCATGGGGCAATCGCCCCTTTGCCCCACCTTCCCCTCCTCCCCCAGCCGCAGGCCTGGTGGTGTCTATCAAGTCTGAGCACGGGTTGCAGATGAGATTCAAATGCCACCCAGCTGATTAGCAGAGCGCCCACAACCTTCAGCATGTGTTTCTGCTGGTGGTGCCCATCTGCACATGCCTTGGTGCACATAACAAAATTTATTCTGCACATGGGTGGAAAAATTAAAGGGAAACATTGGTCCTAGCTGGTTCCTACCTTTCTTGTTTCCCTGCTTAGGAATAACAAGATCACAGCCTTGATTTAAACAGCAGCTGCCCAGCGCAGCTGGTAACAAGGGGTTCTATTTTTTTTTCAACACAGAAACCTGGCCCCCACTGCTGCTTTGAAAAGGAACATCACCAGATCAATCTTACAGATGTCACTTGACCACCATATCGTGACCCCTTTCACAGCCATGCTGATAGAGAATCCTGAAGGAGATGAGAGAATGCTGGCAGATTCGCCAAAAGACCAGAAAAGAGGCTGCTGCTCAGGTGGGTGTTGCTGTCTGTCCCACTTGTCAAGTTATTTTTGGCAGTAAAAAAAACAGCTTGCAGTGGTTCATTGTCACTTATGCAGACTAAGGCCAGGGGCAATGTTGAACAAAGGTATGCAACTCCAGCTACATGAATAGCATAGCTGGAGTTGACGTATCTTAGTTCAAGTTACCACAGCATCTCTACTATGGGGAATCAAGGGGAAAAACTCTCCTGTTGTCAAGTTACCGCAGCATCCTCTATGGGGAATCAAGGGGAAAAACTCTCCCTTTATGCTTCACAATCCAGTGGAGTGCTGGAGTCAACAGGAGTATGATCAGTGGTTGATTTAGGGGGTCTTTATTAGACCTGCTAAATCAACCCCCAAGGGGATCGATCCCAGCAGCACCAATTTCCCAGTAAGTATAGACAAGGCATAACAAGGCAACATATCTTGGTGCTTGTGCTTGGATCTGTATTTTAAGGGAAAGGCTCCGAGATGGCTGTGGAGAGGTTACAAGGTCATGTGGAACTGGAATTCTCATACACATAGGTTACGTCTACACTGGTGGCTTCTTGCGCAAGAACAGATGTTTTAGCGCAAAAACTTGCCGAACTTGTGCAAGTAAGTTTACAGTACAGCGTCAGAAAATGGGGCTTCTTCTGGAAGAGTTATTCCTCTCCCCATGAGGAATAAACCCTCTTGCGCAAGAGCTCTTGAGCAAGAGAGCAGTGTAGACAGGCAACATGAATTTCTTGTGCAAGAAACCCCTATGGCTAAAATGGCCATCAGAGCTTTCTTGCGCAAGAGAGCGTCCACATTGCCGTAGACGCTCTTGCACAAAAACACGTCAGTGTAGACACGCTCTTTTGGAAGACTTTTTGTGCAAGAACTTTTCTGCAAAACAGTTTTTGCGCAAGAAGCTGCCAGTGTAGATGTAGCCTATAGAGTGTCCTCATCCGTTGGACCTCCATAGTGCTCTCTTTCCTTCCTTCCTCTCCAGCCTTCCATGGGGCCAAAGGGGGTGGGGAGGCATCTGTTTCTGGTTAGGACCTGACCTACTACCCATTAATGTCAGAGGTTGCCTTTCCACTGACTTCAACGGGCATCGGTCACGCTCTTAATTATTCACTCATCACTGCAAAGCCAACTAATGACGAATCCAGTACTACTCATACTCATCACCGTTATCAGCATAGGGCATTGGGCTGGGATACGAGAGTTTAATTCCACTGGCCCACTGAGAAAACATGGGCAAATCACGTACTTGCCCCGTGCCTCAGTTTCCCCATGTGTACAGTGGAAATAATGATGGTTTCCCCCCCACCCTGCTCTGTAAAGCATTATGAGATATAAAGACATATAAGATATAAACAGTGGTTTGTAATAGCAATATATTTTTGCTGGGGAAAATGAGACACTGCAGTAAAAATGAGACACCAAAAACCAAATATTACTCCCTGAAATCATGTGTTAAGAAATAGGAGCTATTCTGCTAGGCTGAGATGAGTGGTTATGGGAGAGGGAAGTGGCTTACATAGGTGCAACAGCATGGCCAATCGTGCCTTTCATTCACATCAGACATGTTCAGAACTATGCGGAAATGCCAGACCCATCTGTCCCACAGTCTCACACTGCTGGAAGGGTATCAGAAATATCCTCGGTTCTTAGCCTGTGAAATGTTTCAACTGGTGAATTTGTTTTTCTTCTCTTTTCTCGGAAATCCTCAACGGAGAGCCACGTACAATGACAAGATTTTTATTTATACCATGTGCTATAACCATTTATACCATGTGCTCGCCACTTCCACTAACACTTCTGTGCAGGGATGCCCATTTGCTAACCCCATTGAATTCCTTATACATGGCATCAGCATGACTCCAGGTCATGTGTTGCTTAACCAAGTAGATACAGATGATTTAATTGATGTTAACATTGGGGCTATTGTTGTTTCAGTGTGTTTATATATTTCCCAATTACATTAAGTATCAGAGGGGTAGCCATGTTAGTCTGAATCTGCAAAAGCGATGAGGAGTCCTGTGGCACCTTATAGACTAACTGAAGTGTAGGAGCATAAGCTTTCGTGGGCAAAGACCCACTTCGTCAGATGCATCTGACGAAGTGGGTCTTTGCCCACGAAAGCTTATGCTCCTACACTTCAGTTAGTCTATAAGGTGCCACAGGACTCCTCGTCCCAATTACATTAGACATTGAGGGCAGGTTTACAATACAGTGGGACTTGGAATTAAGATAGGCAACTCTAGTTACGTAAATTACATAGCTGGAGTCAATGTATCTTAAATTGCATTTCCATGCCATCCACACAGGAGGAGGTTGACACGAGAAATTGTTCCCATCTGCTTCCCTTACTCCTGGTGACTGCAAGGAGTACCAGTTCCGTGCTCAGTGTTCGATTTAGTAGGTCTTAACTAGACCCATTAAATTGAGCGCCGGAAGATTGATCTCCAGCACGGCAGGTGAAGACGTGTCTGCACAGGTCCCCTATCAGACTCTAACTATTCCTTAGTGCACTCTGATCTCTTCTGCTTTGAAATGGGACTAGATCAAAGCATGTTAGCAGGATTCACATGTACACCCTCTGCAGCAGCCTAGTGTGGGATAGCTTCACACCCCAGCTTGCCAGGGATTAAAAGTTCACGTAGGCAAGTCCTTCATTGTACATGGGCCAGATTCTGATCTCAGTTAAACCCGTGCAAATTTGGCATCATTCTCCTGGATCAGAATCCCAACCACTGTGTGTAAAAGTGAAAATGACAATGATCCTTCACAGCCATTTTTACTAATTTCCAATGTCATGCATCCTCTTCACAAACAGGTACATTAAGTGTAGCCCCCAATAACCTGGATAAGTCCATCCCTTCGTGGGCGAAACCTACCCCTACGTCCGAGCGTCTATTAAGTGCTCGCCAGGCTCCAACTATGTCTGCTATTAAACAGCACATAAACACAGGTAAAAGATGGTGGGTTGTCTGTCTGTCTCACTTGTAGAGCTCTTGTATATAAAGGTGTGTGTGTAAAGGGGGGAGCAACAGAGCAATGGAGGAAGAAGCCAAATGGCCCGTGTATCCAAATGGGCAGAGATAGCATAGGCTGCTCGCCATTCCAGTAAGCACAATTACTGCATTGCATTGGTCTGGCTGCGCCATTTCCTCTATCCACTTTCACATGTCTCTGCCCTCCACTGGAAGAGACACACATCCCAGGTTGAGGCCAATGCAAAAGCACCCTGCATGCTAAATTTATCCCAAGAGGGGCCTCAGCAGTCAAGTCTGGATACAGATTTGGCCCTTGAATTCCTATTTGCCCAACCTGAACAGGTTAAGAGACCCAGAAGAGATATAAAAATAGTTGCTGCAGATGGGGAATTTCAAAGCCTTGTTTCTGCCCTTTCGTGCTGTCCTGCAAATGTTCTCAGCTTCATGTCACAAAGATTTGGGCCTACATGTTCTAAAGCATCCAGTGACGTTAGATGTTGCCACGCTGGAATCAGGAGGGGCTGATTTTCAGAGGCACTGATTGCTCAGCTACCCTGAGATTTCATTTGATGTGGAGACTCAGGTACATTTTGCCATGGTAAAACAGATGTCACTTGCTCCTCTAGTGGCTACTCTATTAGACAATAACACTACGTCTAGATTGCATCCCTTTTTCGGAGGGATTTTAAAAGGGATAAGGGATCTTTCGGAAAAGGCTTTATTTTCCGAAAGATCCATGTCTAGACTGGAGCTTTTTTCCGGCAAAGCTCCGAGCCGAAAAAACGCGACAGCCATTTTTATGCTAATGAAGCGAGGGAGATTTAAATCCCCGCTTCATTAGCAATTGCGATACGTCTAATTTGCATCCCTTTTCCGAAAAAGGGATGCAATCTAGACGTAGCCTAACAGTCTACTACTGCTACCAGCTAACAAAGCAATTCCTGTTGCCAAAGTGGAAAAAGCCGGTGTTCTCAGATTCAAACCCTATTCATAACCCATGCAGGAGGTTGTTACAGAGAAGTTACACCTAAAATATCCACAGCCACATTATATTTAAAGCCCTGCAAATATGTGGATATCTGCTATATATCCACAGGTATCCGCATCCTTGGATGTGGATGCAGATATCCGCTGTTCATCTTTGTGGCTGCAGATGTGGATACAAATTTTGTATCTAGAACTCTGCACATTTGCTGGGATCCACTTTATATCCATGGGCAGATGCAACTACCCACAGCTCATTTTTTCCAGATACAGATGTGGATGCGGATGCACATTTTGTATCCACGCAGGGCTCTAATTATATTGCACCCAGGTAAGCAGTGCTTCTGTAGAAGCATTGTGCAGCACTGAAGTGATTTAAAGTTTGAATGGACAAAGCCTTAGAAACTATACTCTAGGGGGCTAATTGTGAGGAGGGATAAAATGATTTAATAGTCTTCCCTGCCATCTGCTACTGGGAGTCACAGGCTGACCAAAGGGCTCTCTTTTTGGCTCATCTGTAGTAGCAAGCGAATGTAACATTACTCCCAGAGTTAATTCCCATTGTAAATGACAGCATGCATGTTATGTGGCAGATAAGAATCTCTGGATTCTCTGAAGGCTGCTGGATCTTGTTAACACTTGGGTCTGTGCCATGATTTAATGTCTAATTGACACAAGCTATCTGGGAGAGGCAGCATCTGCAAGAGCTTCATAACAGTCATAGAATCAGAGTAGTAGAACTGGAAGGGACCTCAAGAGGTCATCAAGTCCAGTCCCCTGCCCTCCCGGCAGGACCAAGCACCATCTAGATCATCTCTGATGGTTGTTTGTCTAACCTGCTCTTAAATATCTCCAGTGATGGAGATTCCACAACCTCCCTAGGCAATTTATTCCAGTGTTTAACCACCCTGACCAGAAATTTTCCACATAGCTGTGTAATAATCACCATCAACTCCTCCCTCCCGCCCCCCCACACACACACTTTGAAGGGGGGAAGGTGAAGGATTAATCTGAGATTTGAAAGAGTTAATTGCCCTGGAAAGTGAAAAATGAGCAGGAGAGTCCAGTTCCGGGCTCAGGGATGTTCTCTGCAGTGTCAATTCTTTGCTTTCTTCTGAAGTAAGGGACTTGATCGTGCTCCTGTTAAAAGTCAATGGCAAAACTCCCATTAGCTTCAATGGCAGGAGGGGATCAAGCCATTACTCAGAATAAGGACCCAGGATTTAGACATGGGTCCCAGTTCTGACCTTTGGATTTAGAGTGAACTTTGCCCCAGCTGATTGAGGGAGGGGAGAGGAGGCTCAGCTCTCAGCTTCTAGATCAGCCCCATCTCTATTACTACCTGCTGGCTACAAGCTTTTTATAAGAACGTAGCCCAGACTCTCATGTTCTTGACCTGGCATGTAGTGTTTCCCAGCAGGCCGCTCATCGACTAACCCTGGAGCTCAATGCAGGCAGTCACACGCCAAGGCCGGGAATGCAGCACCCTTAAAAGACCTTGTCACAGCTCTTGGGAGGCTGACAGTCCCCTCCAACTGCACAGACCCTGAAAAATCCTTAAAGTGGCCACACCAGCCAAAATCGGGGGTCTCTATGACACCAACTAAATCAAACAGTGCACTCATGGTTGAAGAGAATATGGCCGTTGGCTCCCACTCCTGTGCCCCTTTAATACAGTCTCCAAATTCCTTAGCCCTGAAAGGAGTAAAAAGTAGCTGTGACAACTGCCTAGCGGCTCCCCGTGCAGCTTGCCAGACCTACCCGTCCTGGGCAATGTACCAAGGTCGTTGTCTCCTTGCAGACATAGGCTGTCTAGACTTCGTTTTATTTTCGAAAGAGGATATGCAAATTCCCGCGGAATTAGGATCTTCTTCCGATTGCTTTTTCAAAAGCGGGATTTTTGAAAGTGAAAGTAGTCTGGATGTGTTTATTTTTTTCAAAAAAAAAAAACCTTTTTCAAAAAACCACCATTTCTTAAAAAATGAGGTTTATGCGTTTTTTGGGGTTTTTTTGAAAAAGGGTTTTTTCCCTCAAAAAACCATGTCCAGACTATTTTCACTTTGGAAAGACCAGATATGCAAATTCCCAGGGAATTTGCACATCCTCTTTCGGAAAAAAAAACTTAGTTTATACGTACCTATAGAGTGGGGCTGGTGATTGGCCTTCATGGGGGGCAGTATCCAAAAGGCTTCCAGGTGCAACCATCTGCTGTCTCCCAGGACCGGCCAGCAATTGCTGGGGACATCCTGCTTTTAAGCCTTTCTTTTGCTCCTGACATGACTGCCAGGGTCAGTAGGGCGGAGCCAACAGTGCCCACAGCTACTCTTTAACCCCTTCATCACTGATACAGGGTTTATACACCCTATCACAGACCTGTGGGGACTTTTTGTTTCATTAAAAAAAAAAAAAAAAAGGGGAAGTCCCCAGCCCCCCACAGTGGATACTACTATTTATTCCTTCCCTGGGGGGTACTGAGGGATAATTGGTTAACAGTGGAAAGTGGAACCACTTTGAAATTGGCAAACAGAAGTAGCTGCGCTTATCTATGTGCATAGTCAGGGATCTCAATTTATAGAGCAGCCAGGAAACAGGTCTCGTACAAGTAATCACACCACTACATTCATTTTGTTTGTTATTCCCCCTCTTATTTTTGTACCTTAGTTGACAACGACCCACATTTCATCATCTATCTGCAAAAAAGCCAGGAGAACATCTGCTTCAATATAGACTCAGAGCCTGGGGACATCCTGAACTTGGTTTCCGATCCTGAGTCCGGTAAGAGAATATGAAGAGTTTACATTTATAGAATACCCACGGAATCTGAAAGCTTGGTTTGTGGACAGAACTGTATGGACCAGGTGCATTGTGATGATTCTTGATTTATTGTCAGCTGTCAGTTCTCATGAGGTCAAATCTCTGATCAGAGATGGGCTTCAATGCAGCTATCCAGGATTTATGTGGCTGTAAATGCAATTGATGGTAGAGAACACACACACATTGCAGGACAGGCTGGCTGGGCTTAATCTCAACAATGTGAACACTAATTGGGAACTGGCTTGATGCTTGTACTGTTCTCTATGTAACTTTGACATTAAGCAATCAACAGAGAATCTTAACTTCTTCCTATGTACTTGGCTTCCTAGTATCACGCTTTGCCTGTCTAAGCTGGCAGTCATTGATGTTCTCTGTCTGGATTGGGGTTTTGAACAGTTTAGTAGCTTTCCATCACCAATTTAGTACAGACCCGTGACTGAGCAATAGGTGAATCTGAGTAGTTAGATGAAATGTGCTTAGACGTAAAATAGAGAAAGCTCACACCTCATAACCCTGGCTTCTACCTTCTTAGGAAATTCAAATGAGCATCATAACATGGAGAGTTGAGGTCACCATGTAAATTGCCATAATTACACAAGCACGCACTGTGTGCAGACAATAGAACGAATGGTATCTAAGGTGTTCCATTAACACTGATCGATAGGGTCATGGAGAGACTTCTCCAAAGGCATGAAGAATCTCCTACCCATTCCACTTGAAACCTGCAGCTGAGGGGCTGCATTTTTTTCATCTGCATTGTCAACAGAGCACAAAGGGAAAATCAGCAGAAGAAAGAGAAAGAAAGAAGAAAAAAGTCTTTATGGCCAAGCAAGAAATTAAACTAATAACTAAGTCCCAAACCTGTGCATTGGGCAGTGGCCTTTTCTGTTCAAATCAACTTAGGCCTGATGATTTGTTTGTTTCTATGACCTGAATAAGTCTCTTGATTACAAGCAAACTCATGGTAAACACGCCACCCTCTACTTTTCACAGGGGTTCTGGTCAATGGGCAGCTCATTGGGGCCAAGAAGCGCGAAGATAAAAAACTGGCCACCTATTTTGGCAAAATTGGGTTCTATTTCAAACACAAAGGCTTGAAAGTAGAGATCAGCACAGAGACCATTACCTTGAAAGATGGATCTTACAGCACCGGGCTGTCCTGGTCCGACACAGGAAGCATCATTCGGAAAAGGTAAGAGTTTCCCGTATGCTTTGCAGAAGCTATTTGGAATGCGTTGATCCCCAGGGTTCTGAGGGCAAGAATGACCCCTGAACATTCCTGGAGAAATGACCCTGGAAGCTATTTGGAATGTGTTGATCCCCAGGGTTCTGAGGACAAGAATGACCCCTGAACATTCCTGGAGAAATGACCCTTGCCTAGCTTTCTAATCCTTCTTCAAAACTCAGAGAGCAATGTCCTTCTGGCACACAGACCTTCATCCACGTAATAGCCGTGTGTGTCTGAGTAGGCATTTCTATCCCAGTCACCTCCATCAGTACAGATGCTCATATTTCTGATTTGTTTTGTAGTAGAATTCAGGGACCCAATCAGGAATCAAACCCCCATTTTGCTAGTCCTGTAACACCTTAGGGTATGTCTACACTACCCTCCTAGTTCGAACTAGGAGGGTAGTGTAGACATACCCTTAGAGACATATATCATGAGCTTTTGTGAGCAAAACCCACTTCTTCAGATGAGAGTGAAGGGGGAAAAAGCTTTCTTTTCATTTGAGGAAGTGGATTTTGCCCATGAAAGCTTATGATTTTATATCTACACACACACACACACACACACACACTTACTTTGTTGGTCTCTAAGGCACTACAGGACTACTAATTGTTTTTTTTAAAGTTCCAGACTAACATGGCTACCCCTCTGAGATCATTGTGCTAGGCACTGTACGAACTCAAACCAAAAAAACGCAAATAACATACAGTCCAAGAATAACATGGGGGGAAATGGATAGATACAATAAACCAAGGGGGACAGCACCAAGAAACAATTGTTATCAGCGTGATAAGCAGCAGTGTCAGCAATGAAGCCATTATGAACAATGTATGAGTATGAATAAAGGCACCTTGATCTTTTTTGTATGGACCCTACATTGTTTGTAGTGAAGGAGCCTGGTGCTAGGAATAGGAATTTCAGAGTTCTCATCGTGGCTATGCCACTGACTTTGCCATGTAGAGCCAGTCAAGTGAGTCAACTTCTCTGCTTTGGTTTCCCACTGTGAAAAACGGGGAGATTGTCGCACTCATCCTTGCACAGATTTGTTGGGCGGTAACAGAAGCTCTGTAAATCCTCATTGAAAACCAGTACCGAGTGGGTACTGCCTTCTTCTCCTGCCACTGTGCACAGCAAGTGAAGTGCCTGCAGAGTGCCAGGGACATTGCTCTCATTTCTGTTTTATGCTTCCACCAGGCTGCTTGTGTCTGTGAAGAAGGACAGCAGTGTCACTATCACTGTGGACACAGAAATATCCTTCTTGGTTTTGCTTCACCGTGTGTGGAAGAATCACCCGGTCAACGTCGATTTCCTGGGGATCTATATTCCTCCAACAAACTGGTTCTCATCCAGCGCACATGGGCTGATAGGTAAAGCCCTGTGGTCGGGTGCCAAAAGGAGGGTTAGGGAGCCTGTTGGATTTGGCTACAACTCTGTTCTGGGGAAGAAGGAAATCATCAACAGGAGGCGAAAAAACTCCCATTTCTGAAATAGTGTTGTAGAATGTTCCATCACACTAATTAATTGGCTTTCCCATAAGAAATCGTCTACTAGGGCCTGAATGGTTCTTAAACTAAGGCTAGGTCTACACTGCTGCTTTTTTTTTTTTTTTTTTAATTCTTCTGTAGGGAGAGGTTTTTCCAACATTTGGCCTGTCTAGACTGAACCAAAAATCAGAAAAAAAACCCTTCTTTTGGAAGCCACCTTATTCCTTGTGGAAAGAGGAATATAGGGGTGACCAAAAGAGCCTTGGATGCGGTGGAGTTTTTCCAGGATACCTCTGGGGTTTTTGAAAAACCCCGCAGTGTAGACATATTTTTTTTTTTTACAGAGATACAAGTTTCAAAGATCTCAAGTTGCTTATTCTTGTTCCTTGGAGACCCAAAAATTTGGAGTGGGGGTTTCCACATCCCTTTTTAAGGGATGTGGAAATAGTGGTACTGTTGAACCATTCACAAAGCTCTCCTCCCAATGATGTATCAGGTGTTTGCATTAAATAGGTATTTGGAAAAAAGTTTTTAATATTTCTAAAATCCTCTCAATTGTCCAGTTTTACTACCTTAGTACTTGTCATGTCACAATAAATAGATCGATTTACAACCTAGTGTTTGGAACGTAACTTGTTCGTAAGTCAGGGACCGGCTGTATTTTAGAGTCAAATTCTGAGCTCGTCTTCAGGGCTGGCCTTACCATGAGGCGAACTGAGGCAGCCACCTCAGGTGCCAAACTGTAGGGAGGCACCACCAGGACCCAGAGTGTAGAAAATTGTGTCTGCTGCTGGTGCATATGTATTCTCTCTGCTCTAGATGCACAGAGATGGTGGAGTGCTGTGCTGGAGGAAGGAGGGCAGAATTGAGACCTTTCAAAGTTTTGGCCCAAGCGAGGGAGAATGGGGGCGTCATTTGAGCTCCCCTCCTCAGGTGCCAAAATGTTGTGGGCCGAGCCTGCTCATCTTACCCTACTGATCTCCAGCCCTGCTCTGCTTAAACAGCATCAGTTAGGTGACTCTCAAGCAGGACGGCTACCTCTCCAGGGTGAAAGGTCCTAAAACAAGGGCAGGCAATAATTTTTGCAGAGGGGCCACTTAATGAATTTTGGCACATGGTCATGGGCCAGCTCCATCCTCAGAAGAGGCGGGGCCTGGAGACTAGCCTGCCCCCAGTGTTGTCTGGGACTGGAAGCTTTGAATTAAAAACACAGCAAAGAGCTCATGGCTCCCAGCCCCGCCACTGCTGTGTTGCCAGGCAACCGCCTGGGGTTGTGGCAGCTATTTAAAGGGCTTGCGGCTCTGCCCCCTGCTGGAGTAGTGCCGGGACAGCACTGGGAAGCATTTAAATAGGATGCTGTTGCCTGACCCACCTCCTGGAAATCTGATGGGCCAGGCAGCAGGCTATAAATAGAAAGCAGCCAGATGCATTCCTTGGGCTGGATCAGTCTTAGGCGAGCCGGATCTGGGCCCTGGGCCACATCTTGTCCTAAGACATTGCAGAGACATGGACCCTTTTGATCCATGCAGGATCAGTTTACATGCTTGGGATTATTATTTTTTAAAATGCACTATCCGGTGGCTTGAAATGCAATGGCTGAAGGCCGTGACATACAAGCAGTCTCAATGTTCTCTTTGGCCAGGCCAATTCATGTCTGAACCAGAAGTACGGATCTACAATGAAAGGCCCGGTCGAGATCCAAAGAAACCAGAAGCAACTATGGAAGTGAAAGGTCACAAACTTACCGTCACCAGGTAGGAATTCTGAGCCAACTCAGACAAGAAAAATAGCAGCCCTTAAAATATCTCGTAACCTCCCCTCTGAATCTAGTCAATGAATATATATTTAATTATAGTCATGCTCTGACAATGACTACAGACTTATCTCCGAGATTTCCCCCTCAAATTTCCTCTGCTTCCATGTAAAATAAGTTTTTAGTAACTGCACAGCAGACCCAACACAGCACTGAAAGTCAAGCTGGGTTCTTTCCTGTTTGTGGATCACCACTAGTAATTACCCACCACCCCTGCCCAGGCTAAACTCTGCTTTTTGCTACAACTATGGAATTTTCATCACCGATGTCCCTCAGAGTCTTGGCTGGGCAGTCAGCTACCTGGTGTACTCTTGCACGAGGGAGCCATGAAACCCCCCTGTGGATTCTTGGCCCTCGCTTATTGCCAGAGACAGTTGCAAAGACCAGGAGTTTAACAGGGTTCAAAAGAGAACTAGGTAAAATCATGAAGGTTAGGTCCATCAATGCTAAGTAGCCAGGCTGGGTAGGAATGGTGTCCCTAGCCTCTGTTTGTCTGGAAATGGACGACAGGGGAGAGATCATGTGAGCATTCGGTGTCTGGCATTGGCCACAGTCGGCAGACAGGATACTGGGCTAGGTGGACCATTGGTCTGACCCAGTATGGCCATTCTTGTGCTCTTATTTGTTGCTGCGAATACGTAGCTTTGGTAGGACAGGCTGGACCAGAGCAATGCAGCAGCTACTCTTGGCAGTGGATTTCACCCTCAGTATTAGTTCAGAAAGTAGTGCTGGGGTCGGAAGTTAGCCCAGTGGGGGAGCTAGGACTCCTCAGTGGACTGTGTTGCAAGTAGGGAAATGAGGGGCTTCTTAACAGTATGAATACAGTGAGATTTCCTTTTGAATCCCTGGCAGGCCTGCAGCTTTTAGGCCAAGCCAACTCAGCCAGAAACGTCTCCCTGGCTTTTAGAAGTTTGTCTGGAGGAAACCTTGCAGGTTTCAGCTTGAAGCTTGAAACAGACTTGGCTTTGAGGGATTTTTCCAGGGCAGCCACTGCACTTTGCTCTCTGGGGCTTTCTGCTGGAACCCTTCGGGTCGCGTAGGCTATTTCAACCAGAGAAAAGCTGTCTTGGCGCAAGCGGACGTACGTTGCAATCCCTGGCAGTCGCATCCTTCCCCCCCGCAGTGAGCCACAAGGCATGGGCATGCCTCTTCAGGAGTCAGAAATACCTACAGCTCCTGCATTGAGTAGAGCTTTGTACCTCGCCTGCAGCCAGGGATAAACATGCTCTGAACAAGGGATCCCACCTCAAGCAAGGAATGCAAAATAAAACACAATCCCTTTAAAGGGCCAGATGCTAGGAAATCCAACACCCCATGAAATCCACTGGCTACAGCCCTACTTTTATCACCCTAGGCCCTGGGATGCAGAGAGCTACTCTCCATTCAGGTGATGGCAGAGTTGCTCTGTGCAGCAGCCAACCAATACTTGGCCCTACCTTATTCATTTAAGGCCCAGCTCTGCTAACCTTATTTGCTGTAATCATTGGGGCTGTGGGTGTAGTAAAGTACTAGTCAATGTGAACCATGGTGACACACCTGGGTCCTTACTCCACTGCCAAAGGCCTGGAATCCTCCTAAGGGCAGAATACACCTGGCCAGTTGGTTTCCCAACATCACCCTTGCTCACTCCACTCCATCGCTCTGAAGCTTGTTAGCAGCACATACCTTACACTGGAGTTTGAAGCTTTCTTTTCATTGGAAATGAAACATACGAGGACAGTAAGGACCCTCTCCGTGTCGGGTATGGAGGGGGGGAGGGGAGGCAAACCTTGCTCTGTAGGATCCTTCAGGTGAGTCTCTTCCAGACAGCATAGGCAGTGCTCCTCCACACAGGTGGCCCACTTCATCGGGGCCTGATTCTAACACTGTGTAGCATCATATTCTGCAAATAGTCCCTCTGGCGTCAATGCCATGACCTGTGGAGAAAGGCAGCTCTTAATGTAAGGTGTCAGAGTCTGGCTGTCCATAAGCAGCATGGCGCAATGCAGCTTCAGCTTCCAAAAGCCCGTTAATTTGACTTTTCTCGCTGTTTTTCCATGTGTGGAAGGTAGCCTCAAACATCTGCTGCCTCCATGCTCAGCCACAAGCAGCAGCAAGGATGCACCTCCCTCCCCCACAATGCAAGCAGATGCAATCACCCAGCTTCGATTACAACATTATGCACGTCGGTAGAAGTAGGAATCTCTTACCATTCAATGGGCTTCAATTACAACATTGTGCACTTCGGTAGAAGTAGGAATCTCTTACCATTCAATGGAGAGGCCGGGTGATCAGCCACAGGCAACTCCTGCTGACATGATGTTCAGGCCTTATTGCTGCATGAATATTGCTTTTCTGCTTGGACCAGCCTCACCCCTCATCTTTGTTGCTCTCTTTATTGCAGCGGGTTGCAGAAGGACTACAGGACAGACCAAGTGTTTGGAACCAATGTGCATTGCTGGTTTGTACACAACAGTGGCAAGGGCTTCATTGATGGCCACTATAAAGATTATATTGTCCCCCACCTCTACCGCTTTCTGAGGAACCCCTGAAAGGTCACATGTCTTTTTTTCCGACCCTCCACCCCAGATTCCTAGCTGTTGTCGGTGTAACAAAACAGACCAATGTAATGAAAGGTGGCTAGCTGGTCTCTAACAGAAGGGGCCGTTGTCCAATGAAAGATGAGTGTTTCAAACTGAAGTATGATGTGGTAAAACACAGCAGGTAGCTTTCCTCTATGCAATGAATATAGACGTGTTTACAAGTTTATTAAAATAAAGCTACATTGTTGGAATCCCGCGTGGTGTTCTCACTGATATGTCCAGTTAGGGTTGCTATCATGCCACTGCATATTTCAACTGAAAGATTTTTCAGAAGGCTTGTAGAAGTGAAACAGGTATTCTTTCTTGTAGCTGACAGCAGTGAAATACAGAACATTATTAGTGCCTACATCGGCTAACCACTCTGAAAACTAGCTAATGAATCCACCATTAAGGAACGATATGTCTATCAATTTTCATATAAAACTTACAAAAGAATACAGTCAGGTAACTGGGAGGGAGAAGGTTGTGCATAGATTAGAGAAAATCAACAGCACAGGCAGCTTCACTTCTATCATCACAATCATCCTTTCCATTTAACTTAAGCACAGCATTTGCTAAACATGCTTCCTGACTATAGAAAGAAACAGCCCCCAGGCTATGGAATTGAATCAAACACATGCAAAGTGCAATGGCTGTGCTTTCACTTTAACATGGAAACACATGCATTCTACGAGTTAGCATAGGCAATACCAGTTTTATTCAGTGCACACATAATAAAGGCATTACACAAATAAACCTAAATTCATACATGCTCTGTAATATTAGCCAATTAAAATTCACAGTGAAGACGTCAGTCATATTGCCCAGAAAGCTAAACTGGACTTCCTCCTAGAAGGTATCAAAAGGGGAGTACAGGCAGTTCCCGGGTTACGTACAAGATAGGGACTGTAGGTTTGTTCTTAAGTTGAATCTGTATGTAAGTCGGAACTGGCATCAGCCGCTGCTGAAACTGATCAGTTTCAACCCCAATTAAAATTCACAGTGAAGACGTCAGTCATATTGCCCAGAAAGCTAAACTGGACTTCCTCCTAGAAGGTATCAAAAGGGGAGTACAGGCAGTTCCCGGGTTACGTACAAGATAGGGACTGTAGGTTTGTTCTTAAGTTGAATCTGTATGTAAGTCGGAACTGGCATCAGCCGCTGCTGAAACTGATCAGTTTCAACCGCGGCTGAATCTGGACGCCAGTTCTGACTTACATACAGATTCAACTTAAGAAACCCAGGCGTCCCCAAGTCAGCTGCTGCTGAAACTGATCAGCGGCTGATTCCAGGAAGCCTGGGGCAGAGCA